GTTGTGATAGTGGTTGGCCTTTATCAGGTTATGGATGAGGGTAATGCACCTATCCTGGTCCTTTAAGACCTATCAATCATGATATACTTTTGGACTGACTTCCGAGGTTAGGGATTTGCAGTGGTTCCATTCCTTCCTCAGTGGATGGTTCTAGCTGGTGGCAGTAGGACTGCTCCCTTTTGAGATGCCACCGAGGTCAGTCCTTTCCTCCTACCATTTAATATCTACATGAAGCCATTGGGAGAGGTAATCCTTTAGTTGGGATCTGATATCTGATAATACTGAGCTTGACATCCCTACCCTGGGCCATACTGGTGAGGCTTTTGAGGTGTTGTTCTGGTATCTGGAGGTTGTGGGGGTCTGAACAAGTTAAAGATGGAGTTACTTTCTCTCCATCAAATGTTGCCAGGTGGCTCCAGATGGAGAAGCATTATCTCTGAAGGAGCAGATCTATCACTTGGATATCACAGTCTTCCTGGACTTGTGGCTCCTGCTTGAACAGCAGGTGGAAGCTATGGCCAGGGAGGCCTTTGCCCAGCTTCAGGTGGTGCATCAGTTGCAGCCCTACCTGGGGTGAGAGAACCTTGTTCTTATCACCACTCATTTTGATTACTTCAACAAGCTCTACGTGGGAGTGTCTATAATGACCACTCAGAAGCTTCAGATGGTCTGGTATTTGGGAGTATATTACACTTATGCTACAAGCCCCACATTGGTATTCTATAGGCTTCTGTGTGCAATTTAACATGCTGGTTTTAACCTATAAAAAGCCTTGTGGCTTAACACCAACTTATCTTCAGGACTGCGACCCTCCCTCCCACTTTAAGGAGATGCAGGGCGCCTAAAGTTAGAGGTGTTACTTTTTTTGTAACAATGCTGGCTCTTTAAAATGGTCTCAGGTTATCTCTGATCTTAGCTGCCTTCCAGAAGCAGATAAAAATGGAGCTGTTCCAGAAGGCATATGAGAAACAATGGCTGATTTCAGGATTTCTCATTTTTGTATGATATTAAGGTTTTTACTGTGTATTAAAGAGGACCATAGACATTTGAATGGTTTGCATACTTCTGCAAACTACGGGATTGTGGCAGGGTATAAATGTAATAAATAAATAAGCAAGCAAGCTAGCTAGCTAGCTAGCTAGCTACATGGTGGCATTTAAAGGTAACTTTTTCATTTCTTTAATTTTGAAAAGTGAGTTTGCTTGCATAGGTTGAAATTCTGCTGACACTTGTTCATTCAGCATGCTTTTTTCTGTTAGCAGGGGGAAAAGACAATTGTAATTATTACTCATGAGTTATGGATTTTTGCTAAATATAGCAAGCTGTGAAAATTGTTCTCTTCTGAGCTTTTTCCTCAATAGTACGACAACTTGGATAGCCTTTAATAAATGCAAAGTTGGTGGAGATTGTCATTATTCTCACTTAACTGTCTACAATGTCAAATTTGTAAAGGAGCAACTGTACATCCTAGAAAAATAGAACAGAACCTGAAACATTTTGGGGTTACTGTAGATAACAAATATAATAATGAAATGTATAACGTATTATTTAACAAGAACTATTCAGCAAACATATCGTGATCAATAACTTACTGTCAAATTTCTAATCACTGATAGAGACTTCACCTCAGCATTTATATGCTATTTCTATTATGGTGAACAAATAAAATTTTCTTACAATAAATCAAGTGAATATTTAGTTATAGGAACTAACACAGTGATGAAAAATACATAACTCAAAACTCCTTTTCAGCACCAATATGCACGTTGCCTGAAAAATTCAGGGAGTTGAAATCCACACATCTTAAAGTTGTCAAAGTTGAGAAGCACTGCTCTATATGATGACACTTAACCCTCCCACTTCACTGTTTTGCCACAACATAAAGCAAAAGAAAACAAGTGGTGAAGATGAGACAGTTTCATGTTAACTGTGTATGTATTTATAGGTGCACCTCCTCCTCCCCTGGCTGGATTTCCATCAGCAATATGGAGAAAGGATATTTAAACAACTTTCTCTGATTCTGTACGCTGCAGTAAGCAATTGAAAACAGCTCCCACTGGCATCAATACATAATTTTATGCATGTTCATTCAAAAGTAATTAGAATTTTGGGAATTGTAGTCACATAATAACCAGAGGATGCTAGGCTGGGTAAGGATAGACTAAGAAGGATAGCTTGAGTAAACCTATGCTTTATTCAGTACTTTTTAGAACTCTTTAAGTTTTGCTTTCTGGTAAGAAAATAATGAAATTCTACTGACACAGTAGGCTGGTTAAAAACTATTTTTTCTTACTTAGTGGTTTGGGGACAATGTTATAGGAAAGCGTCTCATATTCCAGTGGAAAGAGTTTACATAATTTCATAATCCATTTACATTCCAACTATAACTATTCACTTTAAGATGCCCTGCCATAGCAGCAAGAACAACTTGAATTCCAATTTAATGGTATGTTCTGAATGAAATGGTACATTTCATTATAATTTTTAAATGTTGTTTGACAATTGTAACTAAAGTTTTAAAAATATTTTGTTCTCTCAAATGAGGCATAACAGTTTAAATCTGGCCAGGAATCTGACTTGAATAATTCCAAGATGTATGAACAATAATGAATAAGAAAAGATTAAACCACTAAAGCTCTTTCTATAGTGATTACTGCAAGATTTTTTAAATAGTATTTCAAAACCAAATGTTTTGTTGTAGCTCTAGATAAATCCTAGATGGTTAGCTTGCTCCTGGGAAGTATGGGGAAAGAGAAAAGGAGATATAATTGTTTGTCCTTAATTTGTAAAGACACAACGCTCTGTCATAACGAAAAAATGGCATAATCACTTTGCAAAAGAATACATTTAAAGAACATATGTTCCTCTGTCTGAAAAGAACGTCCAACTCTACCATAACACAGAATAATGCTTAGATATGGAAAAGATCAATTCTTTGGCTGGCTATTTAGCACAGGTCTCCATTCTGAATGAGGTTTATGCAGTGAGGAATCCAATCTACTGCTAAGTTGTACCTTCACTGTCTCTTCTGTATATCTCAAACCTAAGCTTAAGCCTGGGATGTGAGATCCTCTCTTACTACCTAATGGCCTTCTTACAGTGGGTCAGTTCTATGTTCAAACATCTCTTATCTCCACCACAATTTTTGAGATTCCATTTGGAAGTACACAGAATCTACATATTGTAATGCAGTGTTGCTCTTAAAAAACAACAACCATAAAATGTTTATTCAAAGCTGATTCGCTTACCACATCTACATACTGTACAAGGGATTTTGAGAATGTGCTCATCTGGGCCATACCTAGATGGATTTCATTATAATTCCATGTGCTCCTTAGAACACATCCAAGATGTCCGAAGTAGAGAAAATTTCAAGGGAAATGGGATAAATGAAGAACAAGCATTTCTAGGAACGTATGCCCTAATTAATAGAATTATGATTCTAACTGTAGAATCCTTGAAAGTACTATATACTCCCCAACAAAACAATATCATTTTTAAAACAGCACTATCATTTGCCCAAATTATGTTGATCAATTAGGAGCAATTTCAGTAACATGATTTTTCCCCCCTTACCTTTCTCCAGACCTAAGAACTATTATGGATAACAATTCAGAAAGATGCTTTTCTCATGCTATTGCTTCACCCCTCTGAAACCCATCCGGAAAGCAGTCTTTTTCCTTTGTCACTCTTCAAATCTTAGCACAAGTTGTTGGAAAAGATTAGTGCTGTGCAAACCATTTAGAAGGCCCTTGAAGAACCAAACCTTTGGAAGGATACAGCCACTTCAACACCTCGAAGAGCAGCTTCAGAACAGCCATTTCCTTTAAAGGCCTCAAAACAAAAAAATAATTTATTTATCCCATTTATATAGCTGCCCATCTCACGAGTGTGAATGTAATTGCTACTATATTTATACCTTTTTTGCTTTTATTATATCCTGGTAAATGATATTGCTTACACTAATCAAAAATCTGATTGTAGCCTTTGTTTTTGTGGGAGTTAAACCAAAAACTAGAGTTTCCCTGAGCAGAAATGCTGATAATGTCAACTACCAACTGCCACCTTACACCAAGCTTAAGAAAAGCAAAATATGGTAACCATTAGGCTGGGGGAAAGCAGATTCAAACTGCTGTGGGGATAAGAAGGAACTGAACTCTCATACTGATAGAGAGAAATCAACTGCTTAAGTACTTTTACCCTAGTATGCAATAAAAATTCTTATCTAGCTGTACCATGCTGAGGAGCTGGGTTGTTTCCAAGTTTGACCCCAGGAATCCTGACCCTTTTATTAAAATATAAAATATTTATACTTTAAAAATAAAATATTTATACTTTCTGTTACAAAACTATCTAAGTGTCTCATACAACATAATCTACATTAGTAAAACAAGAGCATAAAGTATAACAAATGAAAAATGGCATAAAACCATTACTAATCCTAATTAAAGAAATAGCAGGAAATGTTCTATATTAGAAATGTTTTTAATGTCTGGACATTTTTATAATTTTTAAATACTACTGTATTCTTATGATAAGAATTTACTTTTCCCAATGTCCAGAGCAACATTGCTACAAATAGTAATAAATTTCTTAGCAACTTCTTAAGCACAAAAGATCAACGAGAAAACTGAAGTGGAATGTAAATAGATTTAATCAAATGTATATAAACAGGCTTCAATCTGTCTTATCTTTGACCAGAATGATGATACAATATGCTGGTTTTCATTCAAGGACACAGGTTTCATATCATATCAGTTCAGTAAACTGGGACACGAACCAAGTAAATTCAAATAATCTGTACTATTATGCCTGCACATTGGATTGTGAGGAAATCAGTGAATAAAAATCAGTGCTATAAGATTCCATTATATTTAAGACTTCTAACTTTGTGCCCTGCATAAGTACACACAGACTTTTACAAGAAGTTAAAATTGTCTGCAAACATCAGCTATTTTTTAAAATATAAATTCAGTGTATTCACTGGTTATACCACTCACCATGGAAGAGAAATTCACCAAAGAGGTACTCTGATTTCCAGTGTTGCACCTAAAATTCAAAGGTTGGACTCTGTTCTTTGTGTCAGGACTCAGTGACCTGTCTGGATTAGGAGATAGTTTCTGGAAAGCAGTGCAAGTCATGCCCATGAAAACAGATGGCTTGATCCAAAAAGCTTCCAGAGCAATATTAAGAGAAACCTGTCAAAACAAATGTATAAAGTTAGTTTTTTCATGTCCATGTTTCGTATACATAAATACATACTTTGAAAATCATTCATATAGACCATTTTAAATCTCAAAGGAGACTGAATTTACTATGTTTAACAATATAAACTTGGAATTATTCTCCCTTCCATTTTTTTATGATAGATACGATCATAATTTTTATATAACCATCAAAACGTTTGTTACATTTAATTACACTTTAGTTCAACCAACTTGTTCTGAAATGAATGGAAATGGAGTGGGAATTACCCCACTGTAAAACAGAGGGCTAAAGCAATAATTTGTTATGGAAGAAGCACCTGGCATGAGGGAAAGGAGATCTTGAAGAAGGAAGTGGAGGATGGAGTAAGAACAGGTTCTCACATGGGCACAAGCCACCAGCCTGATAACGGATAAGTTTATTATTAAAACAAGAGACATTAGAAACCATTCCTCTTGCCCATAAGACAGTGGCTTGTAGCCTGTTATATTGTGTGGGAAGAGAAAAGAGCTAAGAATTTAAATGTTGATTTCATTATAAAGAGAGCTTACATTTCATATACAGCAGTTACTGGAATTCTTTCATAATGGTTTTATTAATTCTAGACAAGATCAGTCCATGGGAAAATCCTCAGATTTTAGGGAATGTGTAATTCACAAAAAATGAAGAAGGTGGTAACTTTGGAAGGATTCTTATCATCTTGGCCAGGCAAGGAAGTGGGTGCTTGGTATCTAAGGGCAGTGGCAGCTGCTGCAGCAGTTGCAATAGTTGATGGAATTTGGTTTGGAACGTGTAAGGGAGTGCCAGTTATGGCGGATGCTGCCACTCTTGTTGGTCTAGATGGTGCATCTGGGTTGCAACTTGGTTCTTATACTGGAGGAAGGTGGTGACCTGATCCATGGTCAGCAGGGGTTGCAAGAGGATCACTACCCATTGTTTAATATCAGTTACAGGAGTCTTGTCACACTTCACAATACACATGGCAATAAATACCACTTTTCCAGAAATTCAACTTCACATTCAGTTACAGCAGAAACTTCCTAGATTCAACAGAGTTAGATATGTTGCCTTGTTGCAGACAAGAACTTCCTTGTGCAGCTGGTTGGCCACTGTGAGAACAGACTGTTGTACTAGATGGGCCAAGGGTCCAATCCAGCAGGGCACTGGTTATGTTCTTAAGTTCTATGAAAAATTCATATATATGCAGAAGATGTGCCTACTACAGAACACAGGAATGAAGTCCTATACATATGTCAACCCCAAAGTTTAAATCCCAATCTGTTAAGTCAATGACTTTTCGCCATTTTTTTCTTGGTCTTGAAAGTCCTCTAGAGACATCTTACATAATGGTTTTATCTGGCCTTAGAATATGTTGGTTTTCACCCTGCCAAGTTCAGCCCTTAAAGCAAATTCACAAATATCAGATCCAGTACTGGTGTAATACTCTGATACTGGTGTAACCAAGAGTGATTCTGTTGAGATGGTTTATACTTTAGGCAAAAATCACAGCCTGCTATAAGTGTTTAAGACTTTGACTCAACTGGGGCCACCAAACAGATAATCTTACAGCATTTAATATCAACCAAATGGCATTTATACAGTTTTCCCAGTCCTCATTATTGCAGCTGAAATAATAAATCTGTTGCCAAAATTAGTTCCTATGATACTACATATTTTATCTGCAAAGAATGACTTGATTGTGGTAGCCATTAAGTTCAATATTGCCTATAGCTCTTGGTCAGAAGCAGTAATAATTCTATAATGAAGAAACTAATCAGAAATAGGTCTTACAACCACTGCTCTGTAAGTCTCCAGTACTTCTATAAGTATCTAGATTAAAAGATTTTTGAATATATAAGATCACAAAACCTCTTACGACAAGTGTTTTGCCTGGACAATATTCATCATCTGAATGATGTCTGAGATCTTCACAATTTATCAGGGGAATTAATGGCTTGTGGCTTGCACATAGCTGGAGAGGTTTCAATCCAAAAAGATACTAGGAAGATCCTTCATTCGTCCACAGTGCTACAATACACACATTCTCAATAGATATCCCAAGGTTCTGAATCTGTGAACATCCTAGAACTATAGCTTTACTGTAGTTATGTATTACTCAACCCATTCTATAGCTGCTTCACAAAAATATGCTAGTTGAAATAAAAAAAAAATGGCAGCACAAGCGCTTAAAAGTTGCCTGACAGTCCTGAAAGCATCCTCTAGTGCATGTCGCCATTGCCAAATATTTTGTGTTTATTTTAAGGGTGCAAAACCACTGCCAATTTTGGTATAAATCTTGTAAGATATTGCAGTTTGCTCCAAATTTTTTTTAATTCTGCTATGGATTCTAAAATATGATTTCTCAAGTATGGGAACTTTTTAATCCATGGGGGCATTTGTTCAGTTTTAAATCTGTGGCCTCTATGGCTAGTCTCCTACTATCTACTAGGACTTCAGATAGTCTACTACTATCATTGTCATGTTCACTCTCAGAAGCATGAGATCATCATGTTGTCTATGAAAATTAAAATGGTTTCCAGTGATATAGAAGCATAGAGTCTTTGGAACAATTAGCAAATGTAACAAATCCATAAACCTAAAGAAAAATCTATCCAAATGGTGCAATATATCTAGATGGATATGCTAAAGTTCACCAACAGCATCAGGCAGTGCGAATACCCAAGCATTCAAAAGTTGGGGAAGAATATACACATATTATTTATAATCTGGAGATATTATTCTCTCTTTATGTGGCTTTGTTCAGATATTTCAGGTCCATGCATATGGACATTGTGCTTTTTTTTTTTTTTTTTACTGAACCACTAGAATTCACTTTTCTGTTGATTTAACCTTTTCAATCTCTCCGTGCTGTTTTTCTAGTTCTATCTCTAGTTCTGTTTTTACTTTGGGGAGTAGCAGGACTGATACCATTCCAGGTGAATGGATTATTTTGGAAAATATTTTTCCTTAAAGCCTTAACTTCAAGATTCTAAAGATTCCTACTTCCTTGTGACACTCTGTAAAGTTCTTCCATATGGTGCATTAAACCCTGTATCTTAGGCCAGAAATTTATCTCCCCATGTAGATCATATTCTCTGCCTCTATACTAGGTGCCAGTTATACAGCATCCTAGGAAATGTAAAGTCTTACTGCCAATAGTTTGTAACAGATGCTGTACTCAGATTCTGAAATCATGGCTATTCAGTTCCTGTATCAGTTTTAAATCCTACTGAATGGGCATTGATTTGTAAGGCACTTCCTATTTCATGGCAGAACCATGTGGTGTCAGAAAGAAATGCTCATTGTTATCACTGTATTTTTCAACATCTTCCATTGTCAAGGATTACAGATAGCTGCAAAGTGACCTGCTTTCTTATACCAATGACATTCTGCCCTCTGTGCATGACATTTCCCATTTCAGCTGTCCTGTTCAGATTGAAATGATTGTGGGGAAAAGCTTGCCTGGCTTGACTTTCTACCTGTTTCTTTGATGCAGATTTGCCAGGTGGCTATAGTCTTTTAGTAACTTCATTTAGATTAATCAGAATAGCAAAAATATCTATTCACATACTGTATCTTAATCTGTTTTCCCAGGTGGAAAACCTCCCTCCCCAGTTAATTCCTCCTTCTGTTCTTTCTGGCTTCTTCCTCTTCTTGGCTATTTCTTCCACTATTCATTAATTGGGACCCAAATAATGTACTATCTTGTTACAGTTGTATAGTTTAAAACCAAAGAAGTTGGTACTTTACAAACTGCTTAGCTTTACTGAATCATTTCTAGGTTCTGGCAACTAACAAAACATGTGACGAGTTATAAAAACAGTTGACTATATAACGTAACAAGCGACACATTTTTCAAGGAGCCTCTGCTTCTCCTGACCAAAGTTTTACCAAGTCAGGAAGCCATATATAACCTTAAGAAATACCTTTGATACAACTTGTGTATCGCTGCTCAGAATTTGATTTGAAATGCGTGCCACGCACTGTACAATTCTGGCACATGCTCTTCTTTCTTTTTGTGCCACCCATAATACATGGTCATCGACCACCATTATATTGCTGGCAATCTCTATGACGGCATCTGCAAGCTGGTAGGAGAAAAAGACAAAAAGAAAGAAAAAAAGAAAAAAAAATAGAGTATAAAGCATTTGACTTCTGTACAACATAAGGGCAAAATTGAAAACAGCTGTATTTAGGTGTTCTGTGAAGCTTTCAGGAACTTCCTGTTCTAGGAGCATCGGCTTACATTAGGTTTGGTAGTCATAAGAATAAATTGATGGATATGCCTCTTCGCAAGTCAGTGATTATCAACTCAAAACTATTTCAGAATTACGTGAGTCTGAGCAACTGTTTTATCGGGAATAAATGTATCTTTGCAGACACTTTGCAGCAAGAAGTTTTAGCAATAAAATATAGATGCAAAAAAACCAAAACAAAACAATAAGAATCCCTGAAGCAAACACAAGTCATTCAGTTATAAGAATTTGATTGTAAAGGTTTTTTTTTAAAGCATTAATTGCAGCTCACAATAATAAAAAGGCCAAATGATATATAAATGATATATAAAATAACAATGCAAATAGCTAGTAGGAAAAAACAGATTGAGTTATGTTGGAATAATTTTTTCATAAGAAATATTACATATCTTCATCATCAGATAAAGTCATCAGAGGAATCATATCCATAACTGAGAGGTAATAGCTGATTATGCTACGTACTCCGAACACCATTGGCTTGACCGTAGCAAATATCTGATATGTTGAAATCTGGCAAATAGCATCTCAGTAGCCCAATTCAGAAATCAGCCCAAACCATAGTTTCCATTTCACAAAAATCAAATCCCAAACCAATGCTTTAATTTCTAAATGTATGGTTGGTTTAAGCCATAATATGGTTTGTTTGTTCTTGTCTTTGCATCTAATATGAACCCAGCCACTGTGTTGAATGGCTAGTTTTTCAAATCACATATCCTTTTAATTGTTGAATAAGCCACAGTGACTGAATTTACACAAAAACCAACAACCCAAAGTCAAACAAACCACAGCTTAACGTCATATGTACCATCAGACATGGTATTCTAAATTAGAGGACATTCTACTAAAAACACTTTTATACTGATTTTGAAGAAGAGTAGCAAAATACTTTTGATTAGCATTTTAAAGGAAAATGAAATATTTAAACTAGATTTTTAAAAAGGGGTTATTTTTCATTGACAGGTTATAGTAGCTTTCCTACATAATCAGCCCACTTAATTTAAAAACTTGTTATTTAAAAAAATACGTCTGGTATGGCAAACTTTTCTTGACCTTGACATCTTTTAATTTTATTTAACATACATGCATTACAGATCTTTTAATGGGCAGTAAAATTGATCACATAGGACTACTACACTTTAATGAGCTGGGGATGTATGCCTGAACTGGGCCAGAGTTAATTATCCCCAAAGCACCATGATTATTGGAGCACATGGATTATTCTACTTCATATTCTACAACACGAAACACAGCATATAGCAATGATTTACCATCATCATGCTTGCTTTTAAGCTAACACATTTTCTCCAGAAGTACCAGTAAGTCCATTTCTGCTTACAGGTTGACAATGTAAGAAACATCCAAGAAAAGGAAAAGAGATACGATGCATTTTTCATTATTCCCTGAACAGCCATAAAAAGTCCCATGGTGAATCTATTCAAGAATATGAAGCAGAATAATCTAAGTGCTCCAAACGGGCATCCCATTTTTCTTTATTGATTGATTTATCTATTGATTTATCTGTTACCAGATTTATAAGGCCACCTAACTCAACAACGTGACAACAAAAAAACAAACCATAAACCAAAAGGAACCAGGTAATGCTAAAACATACATAATATATAAATACAAATATGGGATTACAACTGTTTAGCTGGCTGAAAGAGGGTTTGGGAATAGTGCCAGCACAGCACTGGACTTTTGAAATTGGTCATATTGTCAGGAAATATGCCTGAAACAAGTTTAGAAAAAACATTGATCACAGTCTCTTCCCTCCCACCTCTGTTGGGCTTACTGGAAGAAAATCTGTTTCACCAACTTCAGTATTTAAAAGAAAGCATTCTTTCTCTGAAGTTGTCTTTACACAATTTTCCCTCACCTTAAGTAAAACATTTTTAGATAGATCACTAATTTAGCCACTTATGTCTAGCTGAAATCTAAGATACCACTTTGTGAAAATGTTTAAAATCCAAGCCATTTAACTGCATGCTACTGAGAGAATTAAAAAGCATAAGGCATTTTACTGGCATGAATTCTAGTTTCACATGAGTTTGACAGGGCTGGAACCACAGGAAGCTTTGTTCGGCTCTTCAGAAAAGAGTGAAGAACTGTACGAGTCCAGGAAAATGTTAAATTGCACAAAGGCTCAGAGAAGCTTCACCTGTTTGAAGCAAAGAATGCTACTATAGGCTATATAAAAATACTGGTATCAAAAAGTTTACATTTACTCTGAATCAATAGGGCTTCACATTCAGCGGTACATCTGCTGAAATGTTCCTTCCAAGATCAACTTTGCAAGGTAGAAGGACATTAACGAAGCCAAAACAAAGGAAAAAGTGTTTCAAAATGTAACAATCATCAGCCCAAAATACTGCAATGGGAGCTTTATGCAACTATTTCATCAGAATTAGATGAAAGTTTTATTAAGTACACTATTGCCAGTAACACAAAAACATAATTTATGGCCTCAAGATTACTCCCATCTTTGAATGAGAATGCTTCATAATATATTTTGCTTTACTAAGCATTTAAATTTCTCTGGAGAAGGCTCTAATGCTGGGAAAGGTAGAAGGGAAGAGTAAGTACACATTCAAAATTTTTAGAAATACTGAAAATATGTCCATTTAACCTTACAATGAAAATATTCAGCAAAAGCAATTTTGATCCTAAGCTTATATGGTCAGAGAAAAGTCTATAATGAGTAAGAATTCTTTTTGGTACAGGAAGTCCTCAGGTTACAATGGCAATTGGGACTGGGAACTCTTGCTAAGCAATGTGGTTGTAAAGTGCAATGTCAAGTGACCACATCCCTTAGCGATGGCAGTCCTGGTTGCCCTCATTAAACGAGGACTGCATGGGTTGTTAGGACCTATGCGAGGATCTCACGTGATCATGACTTCTGACTTCCTCCTGGCTTCCCTACTGACTCTGCTTGTGGGAAGCCAGCAGGGAACTTCAGAAATCACAATCACATGACTGCAGCTCGTTGCAACATTGTAATTGTGAATTGGACACTGAGCACCTAGATCATGATCACATGACTGTGGGGATGCTGCAATGGGTGGAACTTGGAGGACCTGTTGTAAGTTTCTCTTGTTCAGTGCTGTTGTAACTTTGAATGGTCGTTGAATGAATGTCATAACCCGAGAACTACCTGCACATTATCTAATTCAAATTTTAAAGACTACATGAAAAGCTCTTGAGTAAAAAGTTGGAATTACTCTTTTAAACGATACACCCCTCCAGAAAAATCACTACTGGACATTAATATATACTTTAGGAAAAAACTTCTGTCTTAAATTTACACACTTGTGTTCTAACATTAATCATCATATAAGTTAGCCAAATAGAATCTTACATCTTTGATTTCTTCCATATATGCAATTAGCTTTTCCAGCATGTAAGCCAAATAGATAACATCCACTTTATCTGCAAAGTTGGCAGCATCTCTTGTGTAGGCTGCTAGCTGATGAGAAAATTCAAGTGCATTGGTAGCATTAAGATGCCTCTGAAAAGAAACATTTCAAGATATAAAATTCAGTTAAAAGTTTAATTCTATTTTCTACATTAAAAAAATTACAAATTTTGTTCTAGAGATGAAGAACAATATTGATGTAAAATTCAAACTTGCAAAAAACATTATGTTGTAAAATACTTAAATTGTTTAATAAGAACACTATGTTCTAAAATACTTAAATGTCCAGTATAAGACTTGCTATGTCAGTACCAAATCTTTGGAAAATTAAATCATTTTTTGTCAAGCAGCTTTCCCTTGTGGCATCATGAATACCAATCCTGCTTCAATAATTTAATTTAATTTAATTTAATTTAATTTAATTTAATTTTAAAGATAAGGAATAATGCCATGAGAACCAAGTCTGAATCAATGTCACAGTCTGTTTACACTTTCTTATTCCAATACAGAATAGCTGAATACAACTAGAGGTTGTATATGTTAGGATATTTTAGAACCTATTCTTGTTATATAGTTTAGATAACAGAGACTTTCTCTGCAGAAACCTGTTAAGAAATATGTGACATTTACGCATACAATAAATTCTGTGCAAGAGTATGGTTTACCTGACTAAAGGCATGAAGGATTTGAGTTACTTCCTGTGAATAAGGACATTTGGAATAGCTTTCTTCAGCCCACCAACCTGTGCGGTTACAATTACGCCATGCTTTTAACTCTTCTGCCCCATTCAGAAAGGAAGCTGATCTTAGGGAATGCTGAAGACATGAATGGTAAGCTGTTACACCTGCCACAGTTTTAGGCCACCTGTGAAAAGAATAAAAATAAGCTACTGCAATGCTACACTCATACATTAACATTAGATAATGCAAGGTTCCAACCTCAGGCACACTTGCTAAGGAATACTGTATATTCCACTGAATTTATGAGATTTCGAGGTAAACTAGGAGCAGGTAAGCTTTTTTCCATCAAAATACTATAGCTGTAAATTGTTTAGGGGAACCTAACTGCCAATGATGGGAACAGCTAAAACAAATGGTGGCCATTCCTTTCTCTTCACATGAAAAGCTGCTAGAAAGAGGCAGGTTATTTTTGCCAGAGGACTGAATTGCTTGCTTGGAAAGGCTTCTGTACTTAGCAATGGATTTTTAAAAATTAAGCCCTAAGGCTACAGGTTGCCCATCCTTGCAACAGATAATGTAATACATCAAATCTGTCTTGAACTGGAGCCCATAGAGCAATTTTCCTTACCTACTTTATATTGAATAATAGGTCATTCTGTTTGAAATCATTTTAATTGGTATATTTATTGACTAAAGGGCTTGATCTTTCTACCTTAAAAATGGCAAAACTCGCTCCCTTTATCTTGGCTGGGATGAGTTACAACTTGGCTCCTTCCTCCCGGGCCACTTGCTACTCGTTAGTAGGACTGCTCTGCCCACCCCAACCTCCATTATTTTGGACTGAAAAATCCCAAATTCCCAGGTAGCATGATCAATAGTCCCAACACGGCAGGACAAAGTCAGGTTTGCAAAGCAAGGTTCAAATATTGTAGATGAACAGAAAAATATTTTCCTTCCCATCCCTTTTATATCATGTTTATTACATACACCCTTTCAAATTGAAGACTTTTTATTTTTTAAATGTTAGTATCGTTCCAAAAATGCTTAGGTACATTGGTACCAATAATAATATCAGTAACTGCAGTATGAAAACAATAATATGTTCAATGTATTGCTGAATATCAATTTTATTTTGTTTTTTATTTAAGACTATAAAGACTTTTTTCTTCAGACAATGAATGAAAGATCAAGCTCTCAAATTTCCCTTCATACATACATAGAGAGATTCATACATATGTATAATGCATCTTATTTTATAATACCACAATGTTTTTCCACGGATGAATTTTTGCTTCATTACCTTCCCTCAAAAACTCCCATATACAGTATAGAAAACTATTACATCAGGAGGAAGGATAGAATAGAGCTTTCTTCCTAATATATTATGGGCAGGTATGCAGTAGCATTCAGTCAGTTATGACATCTCCTCCACTCCACAGTCTGATGTAGTACTGTCAAGATATAACTTTAAAATCTCAGTGAGGAGTAACTCATATTTATAACTGGCACTGGCAGTCTTTAGTTAAATTTGCAGAATTTTTATAAGTTGTCAGCATGAAAATGATAACCTATGGTATAACAGTAACAATCCAAGAGGGATCAAAAATAGTTTTTGCCACTTAGGAAAATATTTAATCAATAATTTTATATAATACATTGGCAAAACTGAATTTTCATTTCTAAGCAAAACTACAGTAGGAAACTTATGGTCTTATTTTCCATGTTTGATAACCACTAAAATAACTCACTCTGAAGAGAAAAAACAGTGCATACAAAATCAATCATGGTAAGAATGTTGTAAGTAATTAAAATGCATTAGGAATCATAGAGCATTTCTGATCTACTCCTAGACTGTATGTCACTTTAATGAATGACTGTACTCAAGGAACAAGATGCTGCTCGTCATCCTATTTGCTTCAAACTCAGGGTACTTGGTCTATGAACTAAGAGCTCTTAAAGCAGTGGTCTATATGTGTGAACTTCAATTCCCAGAATTCTCAGCAATGGTCATATAGAGAATTCTGGGAGCTGAAACCCACATATCTCGAAGAACTAGTGCACCATTGGGCTACCCTTGCAAATTGGTTAAAAATCATAAATTCATGTGAAGACCTGCACCTTATATCATTTGTCTTGGCATACCTTATGGTGTTGCAGTATATATCTGAGACTCCCTTTTTCATTATGATCCTATCTGGGAATTAAGATGGAAAGAAGTCCCCTGCTTTCAGAGCCTATTTCTGAGGCACATAGCACAGGACCTTTTCTTGTGTCACCCCAAACTAGGGAATGCCCTTCAATCAGGCCTATCAAGCTGCATTTAAGGAATTATCTTAGGATCCTGGTTCTAGTTTTAGTTATGCTGGGACTATAGCTCCCCAGAATTGCAGCCTGGTCTGCCAACACACTGACTGTAATAGTTCCCACTCATCTGAAGATTACCAAGATGGGAAAGGCTACACAAGAGCACAGAGTTTTGATGGCTAAGATCTGGAAACACCAGGACACCAGGATTTTTTCCTCACTTAAAAGTATCTTACAATGAAAGGAGGAAGAAAACAAACATAACCATCATCTCATAATAGCTTTTGTTCACTGAAGCTTGCATTACAAATCCTTGCAGCAAGATTTCAATTACACATACCACCTGGACCTGTCAGCTCAAAACAGTCAACCTTTCCATTTTATTTAATGCATCTCTCTTTTTAAAACAGAGAGAGTGTGTGTGTGTGTGTTTAGTTTTGGTTTTGTGCTTGTAATAGCTTGCTTCCAACATATATGCTATAATATCAAAACCTCAGAGACATTTTCTTGATACGTTATTGGCAGGGAAGCTCATTCAAAAGGAGAAACCTTTCAAAAACGCTTCAGGTGTTAATGTTAACTTTTAGTTCCAAAGATATTCCTTAGAATTCTGAATTCATTACTTTGAAATGACAAAGGAATGTATGGACTCATGCTTTTGATATATGTTTCTAAAATAAATTTGTGCAGAATGTTTGAATGATGATCAATAATGAAACAAATGTGAATTTCTCAGCTTTTTGATTTATAGAAAATGAAACAGCAAATTGGCTCTCGTCTTAGCTGAGCATCTATTTATCTTTTATTTGTTTTTGTTTTTTAAGATGACATTTACCAGCATTGGAGGGATAGGTTTCTTAATGAAAGCTGTAGTCAGTACAAGCTTATATAGTGTATTTTAAAACTGACTCATTAAAGAGCACCTCAAGTTGAGCTTTTCTGTGCTGAGTAGAAATGCGGCATGTCTCTTGGGATAATTGTGTCTTGAACTTTGCAAAGAAAAGCAAAGATTTTCCTCCTCAAAACCTTGCATAGCTCTTTTACAGATGTTTATCTGTGGTGAAATAAGGTCATTTTTACTTTGTTTTGTCTTTAAATAACTTTAAATAGTGGAAATCTCATGAAACTGTCAAATGTCATTAAATGTTTGCAGTCACACCCTCAAAGGTCATGTGGTTTCACATGAGTACATTAAAATATTGTGCCTAAAATATCACAAAGTCATGCTAACTCAACGTCTGGCAACTTTGCAAGATTTCAGCCATTTATCAAATTTAATTTTGGGGTTCTAGGCCTGCGTTGGAGGCTGTTGTGGGTATAATGAGCTTTGTGGATTCTTCAGAATTTGATTTAAGAGATAGCCCGTCAAGACACTGCTCATGTATTTTTCTCTTTTTATTCAGCAAACAAAGCAGCAAAAGCTTTTAGTTTTGATTCTAGGCCACATTCCTTTTTCTCCATTCTCCTGTCTTTTGTATTGATAACAGTCACAATAAATCAATTACCAATTGCTTGAGTTAGAAGCAACTACCCAGGCATTTTAAAATGAGTTATTTCTCTACTAAGAAAACAATATTGTCTGCTCTTGGTAAAGCCGATTTTCTTATGCGTATATTCTAGAGTCTTGGTTAAATATGAGTATTTTACTCCTACCTTCTATTCTCACTTCCCACTTTGATCTTGGCCAGTCCTTCTCTCTCTCAGCCCTAGGAAGGAGGCCATGGCAAACCACTTCCGAAAAACCTAGCCAAGTAAACTGCAGGGACTTGTCCAGGCAGTCGCCAGGAGTCAACACTGACTTGAAGGCACAAACACACACACAAAAGTATAAACACACGGTCTGGCATTGTTTCTCTCTCTTGGGCTGGCAAGTGCTCTCTTTTCAGCTTTCCATGAAAACCATTTAAAAGGGTAGATTTTGTCTTACACCAATCCCTCTGTGGTGAGTCTTATCCCAAGCTCCCTAATCCACTTCTAAGAATCTTCCTCTGGCCTTTCCTCAAACCAACAATTTTAGGTCCATGTTGTTTTGCTAGCCAGTATGCTTTCAACTCTGTTCATGAAAAGTCCTCCTATCTATAAGCTTTTTTTAAAATACTCCACCTTCTTTGACATCTTCACCCCTCCCTTCTCCCATGGGAAAAATATTATTATGGGATACTATGCTATCTCTGCTACTCTCAGACTCTACTGATCTACAAGGGAAAAGAATGTCTGCTTGGGTGGTTGTGTGGATACATCTTCTTTTTCTTTCTTTCTTTTTTTTTTTAGAAAGTGTTGGGGAAGTGTCATCTTTCCCAAACCTTTCACAGATGTCATTGGTGTCAATTCTGTATCTAAATAGAAAATCAACAATTTGGTGCTGTTTTCCTGACTGATGCTCAATAACAAATTTATATGGTTAATATCAGTATCAGCGGCTGCTCTTTAATTAAATGTGATGTTCCAAAATCTCTGTTTCATGAAGCTCAACATTTTGCTCCATGACTTAAGATACTGTATGTCTCAGTAGCTCTTTAAAATGGTCTGGCTTCAAAAAACTAATTGAGGCCCACTCAAACTCTGGGTATAATTGATGGGTTTTACGTACAGCAAAGCACTATAAATTATGTCATACTGCTTTTGAAAATTTCTTCAGCTTCATAAGTGATTATCTACATGGATGTGTAAGTGTTATTTGAAATACTCAAACCAACCTTTCTTGGGTGTGTAAAACTGATCCTTTCAATTACAGAAGGTAGTTTAATTTATGTTTTTTACATTAATGTGCTTCATATTTGGAAAAAAAAAACCTCTACATACCAGACAACCAATCTGTTCCTAGGTACTGAAGCAGGTAAGAATATAAGCCTTCTTAAAATATTTCTGAAACAAAATTGAAGGCATAAGTCTAATAATATGTGTCTATAAATAAAAGTAGATTTTGAAAAACTCATGATAATGTTATTTTGGGAGAAATATTTCCTTTACTGAGGGACGAGGAATATAGTAAAGTAGGGTAAAGGAAGAATCTTTAAATCTCCTTCAGAATTCACAGTGGTTTAATGCTCAATTTATATAAGAAAACACTTATTAACTATTCTTCACTTTGTCTTTTGGAATAATGTATCAGTTGGACTTGAATGCTGCACTAAGCCAAAGTTGATTTAACTTTTGAATAAACTGCAGTTGAATAACTCACAATACACTCGGCTATAAGCCATGGTTTACAAATTCCAATGGGTGGGCTTACACATGTTAAACTAGCAATCAACCAAACATTTTAGTTTATTTTGATATGCAAATGCAGAGAAACTTATTTTTGGTTGCTGCACTGTATCACTGCTGCTGATAGCTATAAATGAAGCTTTCAAACCTAGTAAGATAACCTGAGAAGCAAATATGTCATCATCTTGTTTTACTTGACTGCTGTTATTAGTCTAGCTACTTGGTCTGAAAAACTTGTTTGGTCAGGAAAGGCAATCTGTAGAGCTTCCATAAGAAAAAACAAAATTACTATGTCTAATAACTGAAATAACTTCAAAAAAAGAAAATCTTACCTGAAATCTCCTTTATTGTTAATTATTCTCTCAGCAGGACAATAAGGTGCAGCTGTTTCTAGTACAACAATTTCCACCTGCTTAGAAGTGCTTCCATAGGAGTTGTTAACCACACATTCCCACATTCCAGTTGCATCAATATCAATGCTGGACAAGATAAGCTCACTGCAAAAGAATAAAGGTTTTTTAAAAATAACTAGCTTAAACACATGTAACTATGAAAATTCTTATACAGATGTTCTATATTAATTTGTAGCTTGTCCTAGACAGCCAAATGCTGTAATAGTATCATATCAATCTTACTTATGAATAGGTATGTTGCTGTGCCGGAAACTTCCAGGCATGCAAAAGAGAATTTACAGCATACATATTTCTTTCTATTCCCCTAGAAGTCTAGTAAACTCAACATCTAGAGTAGATCTATAGTGAATAGAAAGAAACCTGCCACCTCTTACAATTAAACAAATTAGTACCATACTTATAAAAACATATGTTTTCAAATGATCATAATTCTTAGAATTAAGGCACTGAGTTCGGGATAAATCTGCATTACTTCTGTTTAGTTCCTACTGAAGTCCATGAGATTTGACTAACTTTGCCCATTCTTTTGTAATATAATCTAAGTAACTAAATCTATATCCAATCTACTAACAATTATTCCACAGACCACTAAAGTATGTTTATGAAAACTGAAATCAGTGGTCTTAATGTCCATCAGACTATAGCAATGCATAAAAACAATCCAAATAGTTTAACAAAAAACAGTGGTTTCAGTACATAGTTAAAATTCACTTAATAGTCTTCTAGGTATTTTATTTTTTCCCCATCTATCTTATTTTATAGGTCATTCTATGAGAGTAAAGGCTTTCATTCTTTGATATCTTGTCATTTATCCTGTACACCAGAGACTCAGTCTCCAAAATGCATCCAACTTTGAAATGAGCATTCAATACCACTTCTAGTACATTATCCTAACATGATTCTAACTCTGAATGAGATTCATAATTATGAGAGTTTCCTCCCCCACTCCACCTCCCAAATCTATCCCTCAGCATTGTGAAACTCTAACATTCAAGAAATAGTTATGGTTCTTTTAAGAATCTTTGTCAATATTCAGCAGGAGTAGAACTCCTGTGATACCAGCCTCAGCCAGCTGTTTGCAGACAACACTATGAGAAAAAAGTATCTCAGTTAAGCCTTTGTCTGTGCTATCCAAGGTCCTGAAAGTTCCTTGATTATTTCAAGATCCAGATCTTGCAGGATTCTGCACTGTATCTTATGAATATCTGAGTCAAAAATACACATCCCCTGGTCTTAAAACCAGCCCAAGGCATGAGAATCCAAACTAAAATATATAAGATACTAATAATCATATAATTATTATATTAAAATTATATTAGTAAATATAATTATTTACTATTATTATCTTATATTAGTAAATACAAATATAAGGAGTGAAAAATTAAACAGCAGTATTTCATGCCATGTTTTCTTTTAGGTTAAATGACATTTCATTTAACAGTGAAACAGTGCCTATTATTTTGGATTTTTTGAGTAAACATTCTAGGAATTTGTGATAAAATACTGTTTAGTTAAAAAGATCCTGCTGCATACACGGAATCTTTATGAACATTCAATGTTATTTTCAGTAGTAACTTTAAATAAAGTGTAAAGTTTATTCTATTTTGTTCTAGCCATGACCTTACAAGGATGAAAAATCGCAACTGCATTTTTATAATTTCATTTTTACCTCTCTTTTCTTCTTAGTGAAACACTAGAATATTTAATCATTCACAAAAGTTGCTAAAGCCAAACTTACTAGATAAGCACATCACAGCTACATTTTGTAAGAAGCTGTAGTTTTGTGTGGGATTCAGGGCTGAACTTTGTGGCACCCCAACCAATGTCTCATTCCAGTTTGATGAATAATCATGGATGAGTACTCTGAGAATGATTTTTGAGTCAGGTATATTGACTTATTTTCATGCCATCCAGCTAATCAGCACGTCATGGGGCATTTTCTCAAATGTTTTGCTAAAATCAAGATACATCCAGACTTATAGCATTCCCATAATTGGGAAAGGATATTACCCAGTCAAAAAATCAGATAAGATAGTCTGGAAAAAAATGTTTTTGACAAATCCATGATGGCTTCAAGTAATTATGACACAGTTCATTCTTACAGATTAATCTCTTTATGACTTTCTCTAGAATCTTCCCAGCTATCAGAGTTAGACTGACTGGTTGTAATTCCCTGAACTATCCACTTCCTCCTCTTGAAAACAGATACTATATATGTCCTCCATCAATTGCCTGGCACTTCATTCAGTCTCCAGAATTAGTCAGAGAGAATGAATAAAGAATCAACCAATCCATTAATTAGTTTACTACTCTAGGATATAGCTCATCTGGCCCTGTAGATTTAAACTCACTTAAACAAACAGCTGTTCTGTTGGTTGGTTGCTTTTGTTTTGTTTTAAATCAACCTCAGGCTTCAATCCTGCCCATTCCTTCTTCTCATTACAGTCACCCTTGGTAGAACAGACAAGCTCTTCTCATAGAAGACTAAGACTGCTTTGCCTTTTCTTTCTGTAACCATGTTGCCTTTTTCATACATCAGCAGCTGGTTTACTTATTTATTCATTTAATTTATATAGCTGCCCACTTGATGTGTGAGTCAGCACTGTTTACACAATTAAAAAGAACATAACCCAAAACATAATAACACTGCACCAGAGGCAAACAACAAGGAACAATCAAGATGGATTCACAAAACCTCCTGACTCAATGCCTGGGGGAGAGCCAGATCCTCAGAGCTTTTCAGAAAGCAGGCAGGATCAGGGTCATCTGGAGCTGGGGGGAGTTTTATTCCACAGGCAGGCTTGACAACAGAAAAGGCACATCTCCTGGATTTCACCAGATAACATTGCTTGAGTGATGGGACCTGGAGCATGTCAACCCTGTTAGATCCTACTGGATAGGGAGAGGCAATCAGAAACAGGTAGTCCTGCAAAACCTAGGCTTTATGCCATGAAGGGCTTTATAGATGACAACCAGCACTTTGAATTGAACCTGGAAGCCCAGTGGCAACCAGGGCAGCTTGGAAAAGTAGTGGTGTCAAAGTGTTCCCATGATAACTCGCACTGCTGCATTCTGAACCAGCCATAGTTTCCAAGTGATCTTCATGGGTAGCCCTACGCAGAGCATATTGTGGTAATTCAGATGAGAGATTACAATAGCATGAAGGATTGTTAGTAGGGCCTCCCAATCCAGAAATGGGCACAATTGGCTGCTATCTGTTCTTCCAGGAGGGTAGAAGGTAGGAATCTACAAGGACCCCTAGGTTTCATACAAGGTCTGTTTGGCATAGTGCAACCCCATCCAGAACCAAGGATGGAAACCCTCCAGATCCAGGTGGCCCCAAATCCACAGCCATTCATTCTTGCTAGGGTAGAGCCTGAGCCTGTTCTTCCCCATCCAGATCTCTATAGCTTCCAGACACTGAGGCATCACTTGACCAGCCAAGAGCTGAGACATATTGCTAGATATCATGAGCATACGTATGACACCTAATGCCCTGCTTTCGGATGACCTCAATCAGTGGTCTTATGTAGATGTCAAACAGGAGTAGAGAGATAAGCAAGCCCTGAGGCAACCCACAAAGCAAGAGACAAGGGCTGTATTTTCCTCCCTTCAATACTGACTAGAACCAGCTCTGGAGGAGAAAGGAGAACCGTTACAACACCACAACTCCCATTCCAAAAACACTGAGCAGTCCATAAAAACGCCATGGTTATGTTGTTTTATGTAGATAAAATCTAACAGAAGCTAATATAGAATAAAGATAAGACGGGAAAAAAGAAAAAGAAAGGCAAAGCCAAAAGTGCAGAAGAAAGAAAGAAAACAAAATATAAAGAAGTAGCTTCTGTGCAGCAGTTATTTACCTCTTACTCTATGGCTATAACATAACTCTCTTTTTTCTAGAATCTCTTTTTTCTAATCATCAAAACCACAAAACATAAGTTCATTTTTTTCTGTTTCACACAAAAGATCTATAAGGGGTTTCCACTCAGCAATAAATGTACATAATGTCTTTTCTCTGATCAAAGAAGTCAAACCATGGTTATGTTATCGAAGACTATTAAGAGATCAAGGACTAGGATGGACAGACCCACCCCCATCCCAGTCCCACTATAGGTCATCCACAAGCATGATCAATGCTGTCTTAGTATTGTGCCAAAGTCTGAAATCCAATCCATTTCCTTCAGAGCCCTCTAAAGCCAATCACCTTAACCTCCTTGTCTCAGAAAG